TGCCTGCAGGCCAGCTGGCGGGGCGGAGCCGGCCAGATGTTCAACAGCTGCACAGCAGCACTCGGATCTCACTCTCAGGGTGGAATTCAGCTACCAGAGCTGAGGCACGTCCAACGGACTAACAGCAAATATGGGGACAGACCAAGGGGATTTCTCGGACCCAAACTGTGAAGCACTGCTGGGGGCTCCTGAGGGAGAGGAACTGGGCCACCTCCGTCCAACGGGACGGGAATGTCCTCTTGTGCAGACCCCACAGCGCACAGCTGCTCCCAAAATCAGCAGGGCCCACCTTGGGCTGCTCTGAGGATGCTCAACACAAAAAGAAAGCCCTCCCACACTTTTCTCATGGAATCACGAGTTACGTGGCTGCTGCAGGAAGCAGCATTTCCACATCACTGCAGCAAACAGCCCAAAAAAGTCCTGAATGTCACTGGAAAGAGGTGGAACTGCCTTAAAAGTTAAAAAAAGATAGTGATATAAAGGGAAAACCCCATATTTCAACAGTAATGAAACCAACAGAAACCGCAGATAGATGGATGTGTTGACAACTAATACACAAAGAGCAACTTCGGACAAGAGCATCAGGAGAACAATGACCAAGGAACGCCCTGACTCACGGCTCAGGAGTCCAGACAACGCGTGTGGGAGCCGTGACAGCACCCGGCCGCGGCAGCAGGCGCGCCCGCGGCAGCAGGGCACGGACACCCCCCGGCACGTCCCGCCGGAGCTGTCGCAACCCGCAGCACCGCGCCACGGGGACACAGAGACGTGGCCGGGGGGACTCGTCAGCTCCGCTCGCTGCCTTGTTAACGGCAGTGGAATGTCAGGATGTAGCCACAGACATCAGGAACGTCACCTCCAGCCACTCCTGCTGCAGGACATCAGCTCCCCGGTCCCACACGGACTGCCTGGGGGTGACAGGGCTCCAGCGAAACCTCCCCGAGCCCCTTGCGCGTGACGCACTGCCTCGGGTGGCAACGTCACGGAGGGAAGGCGCAATCTCATCCCCTTTCCTAAGTTGTTCTGATCAGCGAAATAGCGAGCTTGGCCTTTTCTAAGCGCAAAAGCTCCAGGGTAACTCAGCAAAACACACTCGAGCGCTCTGAATCTCCGCCTGGCCAGCTTGGGGAGAGAAGCAGCTTTGTGCCAATTCACATTTCAGACCCCGGGACGAGCGGCGAGGCAGCACGGTGCCGTCCCCGGAGCCGCCCTCCCTGCCCGCACTTACTGGGGCTGGAGAGGTTGTTGGCGTCCTCCTCGTTGGAGCTCAGCAGGCGCATGAGCTTGGAGGGCTGCGTGTCGTCCAGCGGGAACAGGCTGATGTAATCCTGGGGGGCAGAGGGGGTTCAGCCCCACCAGCTCCTCTCCGAGGGGGGATCCCGACCCCCACCCAGGGCTGATGACCCACCCCGTGCTCTGCACAGCCCCTTGGCCCAGGGCTATGATCTCTGTTCACCCAGAGCACGGCCTGTGCCAACCACATACGGACCATCTCATTACAACCCCCCTCCCCAGAAAAGAGAAGGGAAAAACCCGTATTTTCAGGTCAAAGGACCTCAGACAGCCCAGAGAACCTGGGTAGGGAGCCTGGTCCCAGCTACCCACTCCTCCTGCCACCATCACCCCCCGCAGACACTGCCCGCTCTCGTGCGCAGAGAGCCTCCAACCAAACCCCGCTCCGCGCCGGACGCACCTCAATGTCCTCTCGGTGCCTCTTCTTCTGCCTGGCGGACGCCTGGCCCTTGTTGTGGGAGGAGTAGGAGCTCAGGGCACACCAGACGGAGAGCCTGCGGACAGAGCGGGGACACTGCGAGGTGCTGCCAGCCCATGCGGATGACGCTGCGGGAGCAAGGGAAGATGGCAGAGCCTACAGCGTGCACCAGGATGGGACACAGCAGGTCCCTCCTCGATGAGAGGCAGCAGGGAACAGGGCCCAGACACCAGCATATTGCTCCTGTCAGCACTGTGCCGGGGCCAGAGCGGGACCCGGGCGGCTGGGACCCCCACCCAGCACAGAGCATCTCCCCATCTCCACAGACAGGCCCCGCTGCCCCCAAGGAGACGGTGCCCGTGGGTCTGGGGTCTTACTTGGCCAGGGCCTTTCCCGGCGGGTCCATGAGAGTGTGCCACTTGGAGGAGTCCGTCAGCAGGTTGGGCAGGATGTGGCCCAGCAGGGTCAGCGTCAGCTGCTGCATGTCCAGGCAGAAGATGGCATAGAGCAGCTCCACGGCCCGCAGCGTGTGCTCCTTCCGCGTCTCCTTCAGCAGCTCCTGCGAGGCACGGGCAGGGCTGAGGGAGGCACGGGCACAGCTGGGCCTGCTCTGCTCCCCTCCAGCGCCCGGGACTGTCACAGCAGCCAGCCCAGGCACAGCCAGCACTCCTGGGCACTGGGAGCACAGGCTAGACCCCCAGTTCTACCCTCACCACCCAGGCACAGTGCTGGGATGCACGGCCACCTCCCTCCTTCACCCCGTACCTTGACCAGGTTGTTGCAGAACCAGTAGACACCCCCCATGTGCAGCAGGGTGTCGAAGATGTGGATGGAGCGGCTGTCGACCCAGCCCTTCTCCAGCACCTTGGTGAACACGCTCGTCAGCACCTCCTTGATGGGCTTCTTGGGGGGCAGCAGGTTCCAGTAAGGGATGGTGTCCATGCCCGTGGAGGGGAACTTGATCTGCGTGGCCGTCTGCTGCAGCACATCCGCACACATGTGCTCCAGGATGGAGCTCATGATCACCACGCTGCGGCAGAGAGGGACGGGGTCAGGCAGGCCCCGGGCAGCGGAAGCAGGGCAGGAGGCGGCACTGCACGGCGCGCCAGAGCTCACCGCTCGTTGTAGAACTGCAGCGTGTTGTCGCCGTACAGCGGGGTGGCCAGCTGCCGGATCATCTGCAGGGACTTCTCCCGCTCGTCCAAGCCCAGCATGCGGACGTGGGCCACCAGCCAGGCCACTGCGCACACCGCCATGCTGCACACCTTCCCCTTGATGTTGTCTGTGATTTTCTAGGGGAGGAGGTGTGAGCAGAGGTGGATGAGCACAGAGGATGCACAGGCTTCGCCTCAGCATCACCCCCCAGGGCCGTGGGCCCTGACTGCAGGGGCCCAGCCCTTCTCCACGGGGTGAACCTGCCCCTGCCAGCCCCACTGCCACCGACGGGGCGGTTCAGGGCAGCACCGAGAGGCTGGAGGCACGTCAGTTCCCCACTCATGTCACGAAGGAGCCAGCGAGCTCTGCAGTGGCTGCAGCAGCGTTCAGGGCAGGACAGGGGACCCCTGCCCTGCTCAGGCCTTGGCCCCTCTGCAGGACACAGAGTGGTGCCGGTGCCCCTGCTCTGCCCCACGCCGTCCTCCCGCCAGGCCAACCTGGATGGACTCAAAGGTGAGGACGCTGTTCTCCCAGGCGTTGAGGATCTCCAGGATGGCGGCCGAGATGCTCAGACACGCCTCGTGCCACTTCATCTGCCTGCCGGGAAAGACGGAGCCAAGAGGGTTCAGGCACTCGCTCACAGCAGCCACAGGGCTGGGGGAGACAGGGTGGGTGCTCCCCTCCCGGGTCTGCCCTGGCCCGCAGGGTGGGCGCGTGGGCTGAGCTCTTACACCAGCTTCATCTCAGAGGAGTTGTTGAGGAGGGCGACCAGGGACTCCACCTTGGTGGAGTCGGGGCGGAAGCAGGGGTGGTCGGGGTTGAGGATCTTCCCCTCCTCAGGCATGCAGGTCAGCATCCAGGTCTCGAAGAAGGGCACCTCGCCCGCCGGGCTCGACTCCGACAGGATGTCCTGGAAAGGAACCGCCACAGGGTCTGTGACGCGGCCTGCGTCCCGCAGGGACCCTGCTGGGGACACCCACCCTGGGGTGGACCAGGTGGGACCCCGTCACCCTGCTGAGGACCCCCACCCTGGGGTGGGACCCCCTCACCCTACCAGGGACCCCCACCCTGGGGTGGGACCAGGTGGGACTCCCTCAACCTGCTGGGGACCCCCACCCTGGGGTGCTCATGGCTGGGGGAGCAGCGCCGCCCTGTGGCCTGCACGAAGAGGCAGGCACTGGTCGGCCCCCAGTAGGGCACTGGTTTCCAGCCTGTGGGCTGTGGTTTTCCCCCCTCTACCAGAGGACTCCCCCGG